TCCAACATTATTCCAAGTTTTAACTATTCGGTTAAAGAACGATCCTTGGAAAGTGGATGTTCTACAGTAAGGAGATTTTAACATTAGAGATGGATTCTGAGTACGAGTTCGATTATGATGTATAAATGACACAAAATGTTCAATGTTCAAATCAGTGTGGCCGAAAATACATTTATAGACCAGAACAAGATCTCTGATTTCTCGATCGTAAGTTAGTGGCAATAAATTGAGAGTTTTCAGTCTATCTTCATAAGACATTTCTCCAACTTTACTTTTGAGGATCCAACGTGTAGCGCGACTTTGAACTCTTTCTAATGCAACTTGTAGCTTCACATTAGCTGGGGACCACACCTCCGTTGCGTAGCACAACTTTGATTTTACCAAAGTCAGGTATAGTGTTCGCCTAACTTTAGTATCTCTAATCAGGGGACAAGTTCTCTTTAAGATACCAAGCATCTTGTTGGCTTTACTGACGATTGAGAAAATGTGAGAATCCCAGGATAAGTTGCTTTTGACAATAAAATATTTTAGTATTCTGGCGGAAAAATGCACCACGCACCACTTTTGAGCAGAAAGTGGTGCATTTTCCCGCGCGTAATACTAAAATACTCATGTATACAAATATGCTAATTTCACAGGGCAACATTTTGCAACCAAACTTCGCAATTTTACTAATTTTAGGATGCTCTTTTGAACTATAATGATATATTTTGTCTTTCTTGTCTAGATAAAAAATTAGTCAACAGCTGGAGTCGTGTATTCGAGTGATCATCATACGATATATGTAGTGGCAAGGGTGTATTTTTTATTTTACCAATGGTGTTACTCCCCCCAGTGGCCAAATAAAAATAATAGTTGGTTTCAGGTTTCACAGCCATGTTTTATATGGGTAGGTAGGTCGGAAAAACATTTTATTTAAAAAAGTATTTATCTCAAGTATGCAATAAATATAAGTTAAAACTAATTATAAACTCTTAGTTTTTATTGTTTTTACATCAAGTTTTCACCTGCATACATATACAACTTGACATGCAAGGAAACGAGCAACAACTAAATATTTAATGTCAACAATGTTCAGTCTAAACGTTTAAATGTCAGTAAAATGTTTATGGTCGGTCATATTTTTGACAGGTCGGTCGGAACCCTGAAACCAACTATTATTTTTATTTGGCCCCTGCACTCACAAATTTTGTAAGGGTTATTTTCTTCCCCTTCATTGAACACTGATCAGGAGTAGCAAAGCCCTTTGGACCTATTTATGAACTTAATTTCTGAACTTTATGTGCATTAATTGTACTTGGCTAACAAAAATAATCGACCAATGACAACGCTCAGAACAGAACGTCAAGAAATTAAAACAGGAAGTTAGAACAATGTAAAATCCCTCAAAGGATTTGCAAGGAAGTTTTTTAAATTGCAAAGGTAATGAAGAAAATTGCAATCAACTTAGGAACTGCAAAGAGGAACGCTTTCAAGACGTAGTTTACCATTTTCATAGAAAACTCACTTTAAGAAAGAAAGATGTTTTGTAAACTGTTGTAAAACCTCGTCAATCTGAATAGCGAGCTCTCTCGTCGGCGTGACAATAATCGCAAGAACATCATGGATTTTCCACTTTCTCTCTCTGTAATATAAAAATAGATTTCAAAATATCGTTACAAAAGGGCAGTGTTTACAAGTGTTAAGGCCCACACAGACCGGACGCGATTCGGCAACGCAACGCGAATTTTCAGTTTTCAAAAACAATTCAAAAACTCATTAATAATTCATGAAGCAATTATCCAATCTTGAGTAAGAAATTAGTCACGTGCATACGTCTTTACACCAGCTAAAGAACTCTTTAACAAAGGACCATTGTTATGCAAACTATATAAAGATTTTTATATAAAGATTTTTATATAAAGATTTGACTTATTATGCATACGTTTTTGAGTACTATTTAAAAAACGAGCGGGAATGTTTTATTAGGTTTAAAGCCACGAGCGCGCAGCGCGAGTGGCTTTAGACCTAATAAAACACGACCCGCGAGTTTTTTAAATGACTTCAAAAACGTATGCATAATAAGTCAAATCTTTATATAAAAATATCTTTATATAAAAATCTTTATATAAAAACCTTTATATAGTTTGCATAACAATGGTCTTTTGTTAAAGTGTTCTTTAGCTGGTATAAAGACGTATGCACATGACTAATTTCTTACTCAAGATTGGATAATTGCTTCATGAATAATTAATGAGGTTTTGAAGTCATTTAAAAAACTCGCGGGTCGTGTTTTATTAGGTCTAAAGCCACTCGCGCTGCGCGCTCGTGGCTTTAAACCTAATAAAACACTCCTGCTCGTTTTTTAAATAGTACATAAAACCGTCAACGGATAAAATTTTACAAGATATGCAGACCAAATAGCTAAAATTGCTCAAGTGGTTCAAAATCGCGTCGTCGAATCGCGTCCGGTGTGTCTGGACCTTCACACTTGCAATTTTTGCTGTGATTTTAGGTGCGATTTTCTCCTTCTGATGGATGGGAACGAGTGAATAAGTTATGAATGTTCGCACGAGGGTCTGATGTACTCCGAACATTCATAACTCATCTACTCGTTCACATCCATCAGAAGGAGAAAATCGCACTAGAAATCTGTGTGTCCCTGTGTTCGTCTTGTTAAGCTTCATTGTGGGCTAATTTCATAGAAATATATTATAAATAATTTCATAGAAATATTAGGTCTAATATTTCTATGGCTAATTTCCACTCAGGAAAATTTTCCATAGGAGCGGACAGCGTTGGAACTAACAACTTTAGCTACTGTAATTTTCCTTCCGTTCCTCAGTTCCTATCCTGCGGAGGGTTTTCCTGGGTGCAAACTGGCCTTCTTATATTACCAAAGCTCTAATGAAGAATGTGCCATGTTCGTTTTGTAATCGAAGCAAAAATTGCGAGTGTAAACGGGTCTATAAAAGGGCTCTGTTTTAGTTTTATCAAAGTAATAAAGTAATAACAATCGATTAAACCTACTTGTGCTGTTTGATAAGTATTTCAATAATAGGAATAACAAATGCCAAAGTTTTGCCAGAACCAGTCACCTAAAAAAATTACATAAACTATTTAACCCATTGAGTAAAATCGTCTGGCATTAGGTAGTTTACAGAAGCATTCTTACTGCCGATATTACTTAAATATTATTGTATGGTATTATTACTGAATTCAGTGACATGCCTATATATTTAATTGTTTTGCAGGTAGCCGAAAAACAATTTCAGTTAGCCCTACGTAGTCCAAACTTGCTAGCTTCGCTTGAAGCTTGCAAATTGCGACATTTCACATGGGACCGGGCACAGAAGAAATTTTTTGAGTTATGTTTCATATTGTCAAAATTAAGTGTCCACTAATTTTCTCAAACCCAATTGCTGGAAAATTTTTGTATAATAATCAAGCCGACAATCTTGTCAGTTGACGAATAAGACTCGGCCACAGAACAGGAAATTTTCGTAAGTTTTTGATGGCATCATTTGATGAATTCACGTCTTGGGTACGATTCTTATTAAATCAGGTCGGTATAAGACCTTCTGACCAAGGATTGCAGTTAGCTTCAGGCACTTGGAGGCAGGGCCGCCCAGAGGGGGGGCAAAGGGGGCAAATTGCCCCGGCCCCCGAGTTGCTGGGGGCCCCTGAAAAATTTTTGTTGGGCCCCAGCCTTTTTTGTGTGTTAAATATTTCCACGCAAAGGACAAGATATCTGTTTTCTTGGGCTAAGTACCGAATTTTGGCATAAAGAAATGAGGTAAAGTCCCTCGAAAGCAATTGCAATGTACTCGTCCGGAAAAATTTTCTACTCTGGAAAAATTTTTTTACCCCTAAAATGGTACACTGACCAAAAATTTTTTGGCGACGGGGGGTGGGTTTGGCGACGGGGGGAGGTTGTTGTCCGGAAAAAAATTTTTCCGGGAAAATTTTTTTAGATAGGGGCCCCTAAAAAAAATTTGTCCCGGGCCCCCGCCAACCTCTGGGCAGCCCTGCTTGCAGGTAGCGCTGCTACCTAGGATCCCAACATTTACTTTTTCAATATAATTAAGGTTGATCATATAGATGAAGGAACAGTATCCTAATTTTGCCAGCGTGTCGCGACAAACCTTTTCATCCTGTTTCCATTTGGTCGCGAAAACTACTCTGACGACAATTACAACATGTTTGCGACAGTTACGACCATATGGAAACTAAGAGATATTCATTCATGTGGATAATTCTAATGCTTAGTTACCTTAAGGCCTTAAAATATCTTTTACAGGGCCGTCTGACAAAATGTCCGATGACGTTGAGTTTGGGTCGGACATATGTCTGATGACCTTCAGTTCAGTTTTGACTCGGAAATAAGTCTGAATGACACGAATATCAGCACAATGTATTAATTCTGAACAGTAAATATTGTGAAGATATTAACAGTAAATAATTTGTTTCTTTCATACTTATTTCCAAGCCAAAATTAACTTGCTTTCCAGAACAGCAGTATTAAAAAAGACTTCGACAACTTAGCCCGTTTTCCACTTCACCATTTCGCTCGCCGCCCCGCGCTCGACTATGTTAAAATAACATTTCCAGTTCACCTTTTATACAATTAACATACAAGCCTCTATTCCTGGGCTAGGGTACATTTTGATTTACGTTGGACAAAGTCACAGTTCGATCGGACACAAATACACTCAGGTCGGACAAACACTAAACCTCACTTTCACTTAGGTCGGACAGAATATCCAGTGGTTTCCTCTCTACGTCGGACAAGTTCACGAATGGGTCGGACAATGTCCGTGACCGACCGATCGATATTTTAAGGCCTGACCTCAGAGACAGATTTTCATATTTTCGTTCGGGGGGTGGATAAATATCTGGTGCTGCTGCTTGCTTTGGCCGGGGTGTGGTGGCAACGCCCAGAAAGGCCAAGGAAAAAGTTTAACAAAATTTGTTTTCTAGGCCTGCATGGCGAGATCTGAGACCATAATATTGGTAATTTTACAAATTTAGTAGTAAGAATAATCAAATATGAAACTATCAAATCAAAATAGATGTAATTTTGCGAGGGTGCCAAATGCCTTTGGGGGGGGGGTGCAAATCATTTTGGGGGGGGTGCGCACCCCCCCAGAAAATCCGTGCCTGCCTGACCTTTGTTCTATTCTTATGTAGAACAATAATACTTATAAGCATACAAGTTATCTAAATTTGTGAATTGGGTATAAACAAACATTAGCCAAGTTTATCTATTTACCTAATTTACGGAAATATTCTCCTAGAAGAAACATGAAGGAATTTTTGTTTCAATTTTTTCTTAAAAATGTATTTCTGTAAATGCATCAATTTAGTCTTATCTCAGTGTATACAAATGAAATACTCACCGCCTCGGCAGCAACGTCTTTGTTGGTCAAAAACAATGGAATTGCGACGCTCTTAAATGTAAAAGAAAGTACAAAATATATAGGCGGAGTTTAATCTACTGTTAGCATGATTTAATTGATTTGCGAGCTCACAAGAAAATATTCAGAATGCTTTGTTAAAGATGCTGCAAAGTCTGTTCTGTGCATACGTTCTGTGCAGGCGAGGCCAGGGCTTGAATTTTATCGCGGCAATTGCTGTAGAAGGAGAACAAAATGCAGTGGATCATTGCGACATTGACCACAATTTTTTGCCATATAGTATAACTTTTATACTATTCACTGTGCATTACTATTTTGATACTTGAATTCAGATGTTGATCAAATCATGCGTAAACTACTATTTTAGTCTCAGTTTTCTTCGAAAAAAAACACTAAAAAAATACGTAAACATGTTTCTAGCTTGTCAGCAATCCAAAGTAACAATAAAATAAATTTTTTTATTAATTTGAAAAAATGCCGTGGAAACTGCCAAAATTGCCGTAGACAGCTGTTATGTTCTACGGCAATTTTTAACGCCAATGCCGTCAATTGATTTCAGGGAAATTCGAAGCCTGGTGCAGGCCTACATTCCAATGGTCGGGACCCGAACATTTCCCGGAATGTTATTAATATTTCGGACCTTCCGAACTTTCTTGTATTGAATCTCTAGTCTGTATTCATTTACAAGCATAGCGAAAACCAGAAGAGTGTTAAAAATTCAGTATAATATATATATATATATATATATATATATATATATATATATATATATATATATATATATATATATATATATATATATATATATATATAATTATATTTTAGAAATGTAGCACTGAGTTCAAAATGTAAACAAAGCGTTTGTTTACATTATGGAATACGGACTTAAATATGTAAACATATTAAATATGTAAACATGTCCAGGCTGTTTAAATATACAGCCACATTTTCAATATAATGTACTTTAACAAACCCACTGCTACGCCTACAGCAACTGTCCAGTCACGCATATGATAAAAAGGGGATAAAAAAGCGGATATAAACTTTATAAACAAAAGATAGTGGCTTTCACGTAACAGAACGGCGAACATGCAGATTCGACCATCTCAAATAATGGTAATGTTGGGATAGTAGCGTTGCAGACTGCAGAGGAGAGTGGGCAGTATAAAGGTTCCCTCATCAGGCCTCATGCACCACCCCATGGAAAACCTGCACCCCTCCTTGCAGATGAGGCTTAGATCCACCCCTCCTTGCAGATTGATTTGTAGGCATTTCTTACTTGTATTGGCGTCATTGTCTTGAAGCCAATCTCATCTAAAACATTCAAAGTTGACTCGCTTAACGGAGGATTCAAATTTGACCAACAATCCGCCATCTTGTAAACTCTGTTGGGGTGAAGCAAGTACATTTAGGGTATTTGGGGGGAATTTTATCACTCGATGACACCGCTCTATGATTTTTCTACGAAATTTGGAAACGCTTTTAGAAATATCAATTTCGAATTTCAAAGTATATTAAACTGACAAACGACGTTAAATTTCTTTTACATATTCACCACAAACTGCAGAGGTCTGAACAAGAATTGCAGGACAGCAAAAACGATTTCTGTGCAAATTTAAAGCTTTTCAGCTTTCCCCGTGCGGACTCACTTCACCCTAGTTAACCTGTGGCAATCCTCGAAATCCTATCGGCTTCCTCTCGTGGACGCGTCTTCTTGTCACGTGACATAGTTACGCCCCAGAAATTGTCTTGCCTTGCAAGCAAGCCGTCTTTGGAGAAACAATTTTTTACGTGCGGATTTTATTCATTTTCAATCCATTCCATCGGGAGACAACGCGATGGCGGACAAAGACGAGGATGTTTTTATGGCAAAATTGGCCGAACAGGCTGAAAGATACGACGGTAAATGTTGACTTAGCGTTATTCTTTTCCGTCTACTACGCGCCTCTTCTCTTGCCCAATGACTTTACAGTTGCTAAGGGTCGCTCGCTTCTTTATTATTTTTCACTCATGCTGAACTATGGCCGTAATTTATATTTATAAATTCTCAGCGATGATATATTGAACTGTTCACATGCCGTACAATTAATTTCACCCGAGAGAATTGCATTTTTGTAACCGAAATACAAGTGTTAAAATGTAGTTTGTATATTTGTCAGCGTCCTTAACGTCCGGGCGAAAGTAAACTTGAATTTTTGAATTTCTTTTAGAAATGGTGCTCTACATGAAGAAAGTCGCCAATACGGGAATCGAATTGAATACTGAGGAAAGGAATCTCTTGTCGGTCGCTTATAAAAATGTGATCGGGACTCGACGAGCTTCGTGGCGAATTGTCAGCACTATCGAGTCGAAAGAAGAAAAGGACCAGAAAGAAAAATCAGTGTCCGAAGACAAACTGGAAATAATTAAGGAATGTCGGGAAAAGATCGAGAAAGAGCTTAAAGATATTTGCAACGATATTTTGAATCTCTTGGACAACCATTTGATCAAAGGCACTTCGGAATCGAATACAGAATCCCTTGTCTTCTACAAGAAAATGTAAATATTCGTTTTGTTTTGTGTCGATTGCGATGCGCCGATGCTGATACTTGTCTGAAAGATTGAAATAAAACGATTTCCGGTTCTTGAAAAGATCGGGCATTTGAGAAAGCCATTTTCCCTTACCTTGATAAAATATTTCGAGTTGTGCAACGTATATACATTTTGATACTCGGGGCAAGTTTATACATGTCTTTGGACTTTGTTGTTCGAGTAATTATTTTATTATTGAATGTCTATGGCAGTGATTTTGAGCCAAATTGAATGTGATGTTAAAATGGTCACAACGGAAAAGTGAACGAGAATTTTTGTTTGCAAAAAAATGATTTGACGGAATGTATACTTTTTGGGCAATCAGAAACGAAAATCTCTATATTTCAAAGTAAACAGAAGCTGTCAAATAGTTGCACCTGCCCTAGTTCATTATCATGCAAAGCTTGCTATCAGCTGGTCCCGCTAGCGTTCATCCTTCTCGCTGTCTTTCGAGAGTCTTTCTTTGCTAGTAAACGAACGCGTATTGTCGTTAGTCGATACGATTAAATTTTGAACTAGCATTGATTCAGTCATGTTTTATCAAAGCTAATTCAGGATGTTTGTATTAAACAATGGCCAGCTCCAAAAGAGTTATTTACACTGCATAGTATAATTGCGTATTTACACAGAATCTGATCTACTTGTTCAACCTTATTCATTATTTTCAGCAGGCATGGGATTTCTATTCGATTACTTTTGTGAAGCGATGTTGAAAATGGCTACATTGTTTTAGCGTTTTCCAAAAATGATTGCAATCGCAAATTGTAGTACATGAAATCACACCTTCTGACTTATAGGTGATTCAGGTTAAGCGTTTAATGGAATTGTTCATAGCATCTGTCACGATTGTGACTATAGGTCCAACAGTAAAACCTCGCGTAGAAAATGAGTCGCTTTTTTCTTAAGAAAATAAGAACGTATTTAAGAACCGGTTTAGCCCAATTTCCTGGTAACTTGGAAAAATCTAGGTTCTTATATACTGTAGGCATGCGTACATACAATATTCACATACAATATTCACATTTTTATGGACAATAATTTTTTTATGAACTCTAACGCCTAGTCTAACGCTAACCGGTTCTTATCCTAACCGTTCTGGCCACTTGTTTGCAAGTAGAAGAACTCTTGTGCACATTCACTTGAAATTCCACTCCTGGATTTGAGCCGGGTGATAGCGCATGCAAGGCAAATGCCTTGACCACTCGACTACTGAGGAATTGCTTGAAAGCAACTGAAATCTATTTGGTATCATTGTTTAAAGAACGAGGAAAACATTTCTGTCGGATCTATAGCCATATAAACTTAAAGTTACGGTGTCCGCACACAATAACCACGGAAAATTTAAATTTCTCCAAATGGCCATGGGGGAAGATTGCAAATTGACTTCTACAATTTCAACTGTATGTAATGTTACATTTTTATCTAACTTTAGGAAAGGTGATTACAAACGATACATTGCGGAATTCTCGTCAGGCGCGGATAGGAAAACGTTTGCCGAGGCGTCACTTGTCGCATACAAGGAGGCAACAGATGATGCAACAGCGCTTCAACCCACTAACCCCATCCGTCTTGGCTTGGCTCTTAACTTTTCAGTGTTTTATTATGAAATCCTGAACTCCCCAGACCGAGCGTGCCGATTGGCCAAGGGAGCATTTGATGATGCAATAGCCGAACTGGATACGCTAGAAGAAGATTCCTATAAAGATAGTACCTTAATTATGCAGCTTCTTAGAGATAATTTAACACTATGGACGTCAGACATGCAAGGAGAAGGTGATACTGGTAAGTAATATGATTGGTCCTTGAATTTGAAAACAAAAATTCAAGGTCTTGAATTGTCCCTGAATTTGTAAAGAAGTTTTGTAAAGTTTTTGGATATTTTCTGAAATTGTTTGACATTCAAAATGGACATTTTATTGAATTGATTTTGCATGTTCGTGTCTGTCAAAGCTGTTTGGAACTCATTAAAGTTGCATTTTGAACAATTCAACGTCAGACTCTACTGATTTTCCCTTTTCTTCAGTATTTAGTCCTTGAATTTGCCGATACAGCGGGTGCCCTTTCAAATCCGCCATGATGAATTTGACTAGGAGCGAAAACTACAAAGTGTAAACGAAGACTTCGTTGAAAAGTTTTGTCTTGACATCTAATTTTCAGTTCAAGTAAAGGATTAAAAAGCTATTAGCTTCTTTGAAGGCTCAAAATCAAACGAGTGCTGCATCATTTGTTCATTTACAAAAAGATGTGCGCATGCAGTCTTGTAAAAACAAAGTTTCGTGTAAACATGAAACGTTTTAGCTTGACCATAACAATAATGACGATATATCGTTGCGCCAGTTTCCACCTGCGGTTCAATAAATTATCATTTGTGAAAGTACTGTGATAAAATCAATATATATATATATATATCAAAATATCGCCCAACTCTATTTTGTTTGCGATGCTACTCTGAGTGTATATCCACTAAAATATGCCTGGCCACAGTGGGAATCAAACCTACGACCTTTGGAATACTAGCCCAATGCTCTACCAACTGAGCTATGCGGTCAGTCTAGTTCCTTTGATATCAATGCAATCTATGATTACTAGATTGCATTGATATTGAAGGAACTAGACTCAGTTCCGGAAATATCACATACTCGAACCAACCTGACCGCATAGCTCAGTTGGCAGAGCATTGGGCTAATATTCCAAAGGTTGTAGGTTCAATTCCCGCCGTGGCCAGGCACATTTTTCGGGCTTGCCCGGTGTGGATATACACTCAGAGTAACATCACAAACATCACATTCACCTGAGTACATAACACCAACACACTGGTGTTTGAAGTCCAAATTTAGGTTGGTTTTCATTGACCCACCCCTTGCCAAAAAAGTTGCCCCTGATCCTCATTCCATACATTTCCCTTTCAGGAACAGGCAAGGCTGCTGACAGTGAATTGCAGGATGTTGAGGATCAAGAACTAGAAGATTAAACTTATTAAGAACTATAAACAATATCAAAGAATTTTTTCATATTTTAGCTTAAATCATTGTTCCTATTGATATGTGTTTAAAGGATTTTATATTTTACAGCACAAACTGTAGTTGCTAAGTTATTAAATAGTATGTTTGTTTGAGATCATTATCATCCCATTAGATTTTTCACAAAACTAAAGTGACACTGGTGACTGTGAATTAAGAACACTTAGCGAGTAGAGACTAAAAGGAATTTGGTGTTGAATACTCAGAACGATCTGTACGGTGCTGCTACTGTAAATAAAACATAGAATTGATCTGCTGCTGTTGTCAAAATTGATTCACTAAAGCATGGTTTCCATAGGGTTGTAAAAATATAGAGTCGCGATCTTTCTCAACGAAATAATAATTTAAAATAGTTCATACCTGTAAACAGAGGGACGTAGCGACCGGTGTGGGGGGGGGGGGGGTGCAAACCACCCCCAACTGTGAAACTTGGGTAAAATTCAAGTTTAAATTTTGACATTTTCAGGTAAAATTTGCGTGAAATTATAATCATTTTTGTAAAATACAGACAATTTAGATCCAATTCGTTTGCGAATTGCTTTAGAAAACGCCAGAAATGCAGTTCCCGGAGCTTCAAAATTGTAAAAATTTTCTGGGGGAGGACCCCCAGACCCACTCCCTTTCTTCGCAAACTTGGTATGACAGTGGAAATCAATCAGAAAAAGCTCTATAATTATTACACTTCAGGAAATTTTTAACATTCAACTAAAATCCTCCGACACCCCCAACTTCAGATGCTTCGCTACGTCCCTGCGCTGTAAACCACATGAAATCATAAGTATTCTCTAGTTATAATCACTCCGCGTATTTTCAGTTCTAAAATGTTGCATTTCGGCTGATGAGAAAGATCGTGACTCAATCTTTACGACCATATGGAAACCAGGCAATCAACATTTCTGTGATCACAGTATAGGATTTTTTTGCATCGGTAAATTCTAAGTTTTGAAGGATTTCTAAGAAATGTTTGAAGGAATCGACTCTGTGTTTAACATCAAGTCAGTTCCCCAAATATTTCTTATAGACCTTCTCAAAACTTCACGAATTTATCTATGCAAAATTCTGATCTTTCTGTAATCACAGGAACTTTATTGATAGTGTAAACCCCATGCTTAACCAGGCACGGATTTTCTGGGGGGGGGGAAGAGTGCGCACCCCCACACCCCAGAAATGATTTGCCCCCCCCCCCCCCCAAAAGGCATTTGGCACCCCTGCAAATTACATATATTTGATTTGATAGTTTCATATTTGATTATTCTTACTACTAAATTTGTAAAAATTACCAATATTATGGTCTCAGATCTCGCCATACAGGCCTAGAAAACAAATTTTGTTCAACTTTTTCCTTGGCCTTTCCGGGCGTTGCCACCACGCCCCGGCCAAAGCAAGCAGCAGCACCCCCCCAGGTTTTTATCCACCCCCCCGAACGGAAATATGAAAATCCGTCTCTGGGCTTAACATTGGGTTAATATGGTGACTGCGTTATCTACAAGTGACTGGATCTTAACTTTTTAGCCTGGTTTCTATAGGGTGGTAACTGTTGCGAACGTAACTGTTGTCAGAGCAGTGTTCGCTACCAAATGGAAACTTTATGAAAAGGTTTGTCGCGACACGCTGACAACAGTTCACTACAGTTACAAGTCTTACAACAGAGTCGTCGAGATAGACTCGAGTTTTATCACGACCACAGTTACGACAGGCTAAAAACGTATCGTGACGGTTATGTTCTAATGGGACAGAAAAACAACAGCGTGGCAACAGAGTTTTGCAACAACAAGGCTCACACCCTGGGAATCCAAAAGTGGGATACTGGCATAGAAATAATAGACACTGGAATGGGTTTTTAGACACTTTTTCTTCTTCACAAACCTTTTTTCCCCGTTTAAGTCTCGATATAAAATTTTTTGCAAACTTTTCAGTTCAAAAAACAATTCGCACTCTCTGCAAACGCGCGAAATTTTCTGCCTCAGGAGTCTGGGACCAACCAAAATGCCATTTTCAATGCGCCATTTTGTGGAGACAAATTTTTTACTGAGAAAAGATAGGAGCACGCATTCTATATTTATTATTTCTATGGATACTGGTAGGCTTGGGCGGTTTTGATTAAAATAAAAACCGGTAAACCGTCCGACTTAAAACCGATTTTATTGACTTTTTCATTTTCTAACGTAGGATTTTTTGGAAATTCCAACTTCACAGCTGTCTTGGTATGATTTCATAATTAAGACCTAACTCACTCTCAAATCCGGAGGAAATGCACGATAATGCCAGAAACGCGTGAACCATTATGTGATACCAGGGTGATACGTATTGAGTGACCAGCTGATTTGCCTGCTTATGTTTTTAAGAAGATAATACTTTGTCCACATGGGCGAGGGTTCTATGTATATACAGCATTTCTTGCAAAAATTAGTATTTGTGCTTTTCATGAAAAAGAGAAGATAACAAAAACCGATTTTTCGGTGATTGGAAATGAAAACCGGTTTTAAAAGAAAACCGAACAAAACTGGTTAACCGCCCAAGCTTAGATACTGGGTTCTCTGATGGACACTAGAACTTTGAATCCTTGCATCTCAGTGTAGTACCGAAAAATCTAAATTTCAGATCATGATTATAGCCGTAAATGTATCACAATTGGCTCAGACCAAGGTTTTCTCAAAGCATTTTTTTCTCAAAACACGTTTTAACGCAACTGAATATGAACAAGAATTTGGTTTACGCTATTTATTTAGTTGTACGCGAGCACGCGGTTAAAATATTAATGAACAGAACACACCGATGATTCGACAACTTCGCGCACATGATCTGTACCCGACAGTCACGTGACATTGTCCCACGTGACCTAACGTGACGCATGCGCACTAACGTTCAAGCTGTTAAACTGCTCTCTTAGTTTCTCGCGTAACTTTTGTCTCTGGTTAATGAGCTGTTTCTGGTTGGCTTTGAAACGCTGGATTTCTTCTTTTGAAATCTTCATGTCTGTCTCGACAAGACTGTCGTCCTAACACAAGAAAGACAACATCAACATTACAAGAATAGAGACTTTATGAACATACTTTATAAAGCAGCAAGCCAAACCAGTTTTTTCAAATTTAACGTTATGACGTCATTCCGTTGAATATGATTTCTTATTATATAGTAGAGAGTGAGATACTGAAAAATACACAGCGAGATATTTTCCATATCTTCACTGGTGAGGATATCGATCACGCGACTTTTTCCAATTTACTTTTGAGCGTGAAATTTCACAATTTTTTGCTTGGGACTATATAATAAACAGAACATTGCACGGTGGCTTGAAGATATGACTTTTATCTTCTCGTGTTAAAAACAGTATTTTACTCACTCGCTGCGCTCGTTCGTAAAATATTGTTTTCACCACTCGAAGATAAAAGTCATATCTTCGCGCCGCCGTGTAATATCCTCTATATATTCAACGTTATGACGTCACTTCGTTGAATATTATGTCAAAACTCCATATTTGGTCAGCTACTGAGTTAATATGACGATTTCACAGTTGGCTGTTAGCCAATCAGAAACCATGAACTTTTAAATAAACAAGGGACCGGTCATTATTTATAGCGGGGCACAAAATTTCGAGTGAGGAAAAGGTTGGGTAAATGAAAAACAAAACAATTCAGGGGTTGGGTAGTAAAAAAATTATAGTCATTTCCAAAGCATGACTCGCTCAAATATTGACTCACTAAAAAGCAATGTCAACAGTCGTATTTTCAATAAAATATGTACATCAATCAATCAGAGCCACTATCTTGATCATTTTCCGATTTGTCAGGAGGCAAATGGTGTCTCCAAAGAAAAAGTACATGTGCAGACAACATGAAACTTTAGACTGCAGAAAATTACACAAGCCATTATCTCAAACTCATGTCACAGAAGTGGTGAAGGACATGTATCACAACTGAATGGTATCCTTTTGTAGAGATTTTGGCCAGGGGAGGGCATTTATTTTTTAATTGATATTTGAGGATGGGTAAAATATTTTTTGACTTTTTAATGGTTGGTAATCAACAAAATATTTTACAAGAAGAACATTTATGAGCGGTCCCTAATAATAAAAAAATATCGTCTGCACTCACATGACAAGGTTCTGCTGAATTCCACCCCATGGAAAGGAGTAATTGCTTTTCCTCGTCATCCACTGGTAGATTATCATGTTTATCATCACAATCATGATTCATCTCTTCACTCAGGAACCCATTTTGATAGCACCCACCCACCACATTTCTGTTGTGATTACACCCCTCATTGCATGGCCCTTCTCTCAGATCGGGGCCGGACTTTGGTGTACCACACCCCAGCTGAAAATATGATTCGCCACATTCTTCTTGCGGACTGGACATACCTCTGCCCTGCTCAGGACAAGCCTGGTCGCTCTCCTGGTCGGGACAGGAGACCGACTTCCCACATTCTGACTTGAAACAACAGCCTTCTTTGCGATTCTGCCCGGCGCAGCTTTCGTCATCCCATTTCTCAGAATTTTCACCATTCCAAATCGGAGAATCACTACAATTGCAATGTTCATGATCATTGGACGACGACAGTTCGTTCTCATTCCTTTCACCACATGTTTCCACTTTGCAACTACCGCCTTCTTCCTCGCCGCCATTTTTCATCTCACAAGCCAAGCCCTCCTTGCTGCCCTTACAATCTTCAGACATCTCGTTCGACACAAGATCGCCATATTTACATTTCTCTTTTCGACGAGCTCGCTTCTTTTGACGTTTCTGCTCTCGCTTCACTTCCTTCACTTTCTCTTCTTCAAAAATTTCCTCAACGACTTGTTCCAACCTCGACATGCCCTGTTTTTCCTCCACTGACACCTGGAGTGGGTTGGAATTATTGAAAGAAAGAAACAAGAAAGTGAGTGAGTAATATTTCGATTTTATTACAAAATCATCATCAGACTAACTAAAGTTACAATATACACATGGTCTTATATACAAGTTGGCAAGGCATGATGACAGCTTAACGGAAGTCTCAATCAGAACCACGACAGTTGCAGTGAGATGTAAGTGTGATGAAATGTGGCTGTATAGAAAAGCTTGAGTTCTTTGCTGGCTTTGAGTCCAGTGTTTAAACTGAGTGAATGATACTTGATATATAGAGCTTCAAGCAACAAGAGAAAGTTAGGTGTGCGAGAATAAATAGTGAGAAGAATTCGAGAGTTGTCAAATATTAAGTTGGAAATAAAAGTGGAAACGTTATTGTCAGCGTCAGTTGGGTTGTTAAGTTTGTCAAAAACAAAGTGTAGGTTTACAATGTATTGCACATGTTCGCCTTGCCAACTTGTATTTAAGACCATGTGTATATCGTAACTTTAGTTAGTCTGATGATGATTTTGTAATAAAATCGAAATATTACTCACTCACTTTCTTGTTTGACTCATATTTTGGGTTTCAAGATGCTTATCTTCGGATTATGTTTTGTATTATATTTTTTGAAATTGTCGGCTGGTATTGGTTAAAGAAAAGTATATTCACGGAAAGAGCATACTAAAACGAGTAAAATTGCAAAGTTTGGTTGCGAAATGTTGTAAAATGCGGAAAATATAGCCTTGCAAAGTTCGAAAATTTTGTATACTTTTGTATTGCGTGCGGAAATTGCTACCACATTTGGGCCGAAAATGGTAGGAATTTCCGCACGCAATACAAAAGTATACAAAATTTGCAAACTTTGCAAGGCAATATTTTCCGCATTTTACAACATTTCGCAACCAAACTTTGCAATTTTACTCATTTTAGTATGCTCTTTCTAGCTATGGTGATTTATTTGCATCTCCTTGCCAAGTTTTAAAATTAGTCTATAATCAGGAATTGTCTATTATTGCCATTAAAGCGATATGGCAACATATTTTTTATTATGTTTTTGATGTTACTCTGAGTGTATATCCACACCGGGCAGGCAGAAAAGTTAGACTGACCACGGTGGGAATCGAACCCGCTACTTTATTACTTCATTTGGAAGAATTTTTAAAATTATATGTAAATCTCCTTTATCGATTTTGCGTAACTTTATTATTTCTTGAGATATTTTGACAGAAAAAATCACAAATCAGCGAGCATTCCGCCATCTTGGATTTTGGTGGATATGCATGTTACGTCATAAGCAGGGTCACGCAAGTATTTCTCCAGAGAGCAATTGTATTTAAATTGACAATATTCAACTATTATTTTGTGTTTCTCAACCGCCAGATACATTTAAAAAGGTTGTTAACTGTGTAAACTGCAAATTCAAAAACTCAATAATTCATGAGGAAAATCTTTTTATATAATAACTACAGTGAAACACGCAATTTGATTGGTCAATAGCCGTGCAGGATCAGGCTATCCTGCACGAGGAATTAAAATGTCTTCGCGGGATTTTCGCGGGATTCTCAAAATGTCATTGTTTCACTCTAGTTATTTTATAAAACAATTACCAAATGGTTTTCCAAGCAGGATAGCGTGATCCATGCACTTGGTATGTTGCTCGACTTTCGGAAAGCGTAAAAATACACTCGCCTGCGGCTCGAGTATTTTTACGCTCTCCGAAAGTCTCGCGACATCCCTCGTGCATGGATCACGCAATCCTGCACGAAAAACCATTCGGTATTCCTTTAATATGTGATAGAGATTTCACTTGATTTACATAGACTTTAACTTTGATTTTCTCAACTTACACAACGTTTTTGAAGCAATTTAAAACATTCGCATGCAGTGCGTGTTTTATCAGACCTAGATACTCGGCTTCGTCTCGCATATCTTTATATCTGATAAAACACTGCTGCTCAAGTTTTAAATAGTACATAAAGCTAAAACAAAGTAATTTTGAAACAGGTTTACTATGTCTGTTGATGATTAAACAAACCTCAAAACTTCTCCTCAAGGTGTTAATGCCAAGATAATATAACATTTGCCAACTTTGTTCTTCAGTTCGTAATTTTTGCCAGAGGTGATGTAATCTCTCCCACATAAATACTGCAAGGCATGTGAGCACCTAAATATGACACAAGAAATACTTTTGAATGCCCTTTGTTTGGAAGTTAGTAGACGGACTTCATAATTCTTCAGGCCTTCAAATATCTTTTACAGGGCCGTCTGTCAAAACATCCGATAACTTTGAGTTTGGGTCAGACCAATGGGCCAGACACATGTAGGGAAAGGCTAGGTTGCTGACCTCAAAATGACTTTTTGTCAAAACGTTTTTCTTGAAGATTTGTTTAAAAACAAGCTTGGCGTAGGGTTGGGGTTAGGATTATAGGAGTAGGGTTAGAGTTGGTGTTTGGAATAGGGCTAGTACTTGGTAAAACCGCTGCTTTGTTACGTTTTGTCACTCTGATTATACCACAGGAGGCCCAGGCTCGATTTGCCCGCGCCCGCCTGTGCCTTCCTTATAACGAGGGAAGGAAGGAAACATTGAGACCAAAATAGCCCAGACTGGCATATGTCACACGAAACTATCCTCGATTTTTCGCCTTTAATGCATTTCTTTCACGATTAATCGATATCCCCTGCAAGAATGATACCGTATAACTCTCAAAACAACGATGCTTTAATCAAAGGGCTTTAATTCGCTCTGAAATCCGTGAGGGAATAACAAAATTCGCCCAAAATATATCCGCGTGCCGGGTTTGCTGGACAAAAAGCGGAAGTCGTTGAACAACTCAAAATACACTCAACCCTGATTGGACAACGAAAATCAACAAACATTTCAAATTTCTGTAGTCAGTAATGTAATATAAATTTGAATCAAAACAATTAACAAATGTTGTCGGGGGGGAAACCAGTGCAAATCTAAATATTTAAATTTAAGAAGTTTAGTCAGTATAATAACGTTTGTGAATTGTTTTGATTCAAATAATCAAATTATTACAGTACTGTTCCAAGTACTGTCCCCCTTCCCAGTGCCAGTGGAGAAAAATTTGAAATGTTTGTTGATTTTCGTTGTCCAATCAGGGTTGAGTGTATTTTGAGTTGTTCAACGACTTCCGCTTTTTGTCCAGCAAACCCGGCACGCGGATATATTTTGGGCGAATTTTGTTATTCCCTCACGGATTTCAGAGCGAATTTAAGCTCTTTGATTAAAGCATCGTTGTTTTGAGAGTTATACGGTATCATTCTTGCAGGGGATATCGATTAATCGTGAAAGAAATGCATTAAAGGCGAAAAATCGAGGATAGTTTCGTGTGACATATGCCAGTCTGGGCTATTTTGGTCTCAATGTTTCCTTCCTTCCCTCGTTATAAGGAAGGCACAGGCGGGCGCGGGCAAATCGAGCCTGGGCCTCCTGTGATTATACATTAGTCTGATCCCCCATTTAATAACATACGAGCCTTTAGTCCTGGACTAGGGTACATTTTGCTTTACGTTGGACAAAGCTACAGTTTGGTCGGACACCAATACACTCGGGTCGGACAAACAATAAACCTCAGTTTCACTCAGGTCGGACAGAATGTCCGGTATAGTTTCCTCTCTACGTCGGACAATTTCACGAATGGGTCGGACAATGTCCTTGACCGATAGATATTTTAACGCCTGATTCTTATTCTATTCCCGTTTCCATCTGTTCTATTCGGATATATTTGTAACGTTGTTCATTTAACCTAATATAGTTCTATTATCATTGAAGTAATACAGTACCCTGGGCAAAATTCTCCACATACCTCCTCTTGAGCTGTATCCATGGACTTTGCATGTCTTTCTCGTCTCCTAAAATAGTACACCTGTTCGTCAACAATTATCCACTCATTAGAATAACAATATAACTCATCATACATCTATGTTTTAGTCAACGTTTACTCATAAACCGACCATCCTTCGGGTAAATTGGAAATCGCTATGCTATTAGTGGATTTGGCAAAAATACAATACACACGTGACGGTGAAAGAACCAGATTTATGAATAAACGTTGACTAACATAGATAATGAGTTATATTGTTATTC